AATTATAGAAAATGCGTTTTTCTAAGGTACATAAACTTTTGGGATTGACTGTATAGCCAATACATCCTTAAACGATCTTGTGCAAGACTAGGCGAAAGGTAAAATGAAGACGTTTAACAGATAAAGCGAAACTCGTGCTCGAATTACGTATATACGTTTCCCACGCGAGGCACCTGGGCAAAGCTGTGGAGAATACGTAGCTTTAAGTGGACCAACCAGTGAAAAAGAGGAGAAGGTGAAATCGGAGTGCGGGATCCATTAGCAAGTCCGGGGACGCACGTTTTACCATCGACGCCCGACTTTCATACCCACGAAGAGCTTTTTGTGTACCTATGAACGACTGACTGTTCTACCATCTCTATTTTACCTCTCTGACCATCCACTAAGAAAATCCGCTTGTACACCCTGATCAAATTTTATTGCGCCTCTCGTATCGTCGGATTAATTCGTGAACGATATTTATGGTGAGCAAATGAATTATCCTTCAGTCCTCGAGATTGAAATTGGAACAATACAGATATTCATAGATACAGATTGAATTTCGCTATAACAATGATTGAGAAATATTAGTGAACAATATTCGATCGTCGAGTGGAAGAGATTTTAAGCTCGTGCGAGATTAATTCCAGGATGATTCATTAATTACCGGTTAACACGCTCGGCCACACGAGGACCGTGGTATTTCTGTAAGCAGCCGCAATTTATAGCCACCAGTTGTTCCTTTCATTCTCGTTCATACTTAAGCGCAACGACACGTATAATCGGTCTCACTGCGCCGAGTTATTACGAATACTACAAATATTCTACATCGAGAATTAAATCCAGAAACGCACGTGTTACGTACGAAAAGCGGAATGCAACGACGAGTGAAGTTCAGAAAGACAAAAGAAAATTATTGAATAAATTAATGATGCAATCAATCATTGACGAACTACGAACGATGTGAACTCTGAGTCAAACTTCTTGCTGTATTGTATGAAAATTTTGTATTAACATAAGATTCGCATTATTTAATATCATAGAATATTTATTATTTTGTCAACTACGTTCTGCTTGGGTAATACGTAAGACAATGAGGCAGGAATCAAAGTGAGATTTCAAGGCGCTAATAATAAATTGGCTACATAACGAAATTTATGCGCACATGCTGCCATTTCCACTTTCGCGAGTTTGTGGTAGGCAGACTAGACCGCAAACGTACATGCATACATAGTAAGCCGTGAATGCGATAGGAATAGCTTTTTAGTTACATATATTTAAATTTATTGAACATGACTTATGAACCCGGTCAACTACATCCTGCATTAATGTTGCAACAATCCATAACACATATCATTAAATTCTTTAATGTGGTTATTCTTGTTTGCTTCCTCTAGTCGCTTGAAAATCGAAATCTCAAGTAAATGTGATTCACTGTTAATATTACTGTTTTTGGTGGGCTTTACGTAAGAAAATCACTCGTTAAATTAATATTTATTATGGAATATTTCGTTGTTATTAATATCGTCGTGCGCGGTTTCGTTAACAATCAAACTATTATTAAGAGCAATATATTTTGCTCTTTCGTCAAATGGATGAGTCGGAACCAACGTCGGAGCGAGAACTGAAATTATCGCCTTAGTCCTAGAACGATTTTCAACGGAGCGATATTTTCCTCACACATACATTTGCACGTATACAACTTATACACATATGAGACAGAGCAGTCCCAGCGATTGGTCCAACAAATATCGCGTGACATTCAATATATATAGATATTCGAAATAAATGTCTGAATCTCTACATCGAATAAACACCATCAGAAATTGTCTGAAACGTGAATCGAGCCATTTTGAATATCGACTACTTGCACGAATTCAAACAGATGTTTCAACGATTTCAGTATCAGAGAAAGATTCGTTTGTCGTTCGTATTCGTGGACAGTAAGGAAGAATACAGAGGCGAGTCGGGGAGGGAAATTCGTCAGCGATTCAAACGAGCAATTCGCGCTTCCCATTAGAGGTCTCCCTCGAAGCAGCTGTTTAATAACGCATTACCGCGCGGCGCAGTGAGAGCGCGGGATCCGAGTTAACAGGAGAAACAGGAGTAATCGTTCGTAATGCATCTCATCACGCAATCCAGTCCTTTACCTTTCACCTGCCGCGTGAGTTTCGAGACCACTCCCTGCCGTCAATCGTCGCACTTATCGTGCCCGGCGTCTCTTCATGAAAATTCGACGACCCGCCGTTATACGCGCATACGATTGACTCAGAATTATGGACCAACTTGTACACAGATCCCTCGTGAATCAATAATTTACGGGATCTATTGTACGCAATAGAATTTGCTTGAGACGAATGCGAAAGAAACGTGTAATGACAGTGACAGAGGAAATAACAATTAGGAAGGTGACGATTCAAAGAGAACGAAGGGAAAGGAAGGTGGAGGGAAGAAAAAAATCGGGATTGGTAGCCTGCCAAAGGGGCGCGGCGATACGGTACCGAGTCGCAAAGTGGATCACACGTTGGGTGGCTGGAAAAATCGTGGAAAAACGCGAGGCGCGACGCCGCGCTTGACCGGTAAATATTGCCCGGTGGACACTTTTTCTTCGCTGTCTCGCCGCGTTCCCGTGCTCATAAACAAAGTAATGACGCGCCAAACGCGAAACCCAATTCCCGGATTTCGTGCCCGCACACAGTGACACATACGCGCGTACGTACATGAGCGACTTGGAAAGGGCGCGGTAGAGAGAGAAACGGGAGAGCACGGTAAAAGCCAGCCGCGACAACGGCCTGCATGTAAATCACCGCGACGACGTCGACGACGACGACGACGACGAGCCACAGGGAGCAGCTACTCCTCCCCTTTGCTCGCTCGCTCGTTCTTTCTAACCCGTCAGCCACCGTCAGATCCGCGCTGAACGAACCCCTCCGGCTCGTCGATCGTCCCTTCAACTTTTTCGACGACGCTTGTATCGCGTGAATCGATGGTCGAACGGATCCATTAACCACTTGGGACGTTAGTAGAATTTAGATGACGATTTTAGGTTGCAGCATTGCCAATGTTCGAAGGAAATCTGTGATCTATCATCTAATTTGAAATGACACTTCGATGATCGTCACGACGTTCGCTAGTCACTTAGTATTCAATTCAAGATTTATTTCAAACGCAAATGTGAGACGATAAAATATTGCCTGCGCTAAATTAACGTTTAAAAATTAGCATACGAGTGGAATTTATTATACGTATGCGCTTGTTTCTTCTTGTTGCAGGAGACCCGAGTGTCGAGGACGAACGGGAGGACCGACAAGTAATTGTGATAAGATATAGAAATACTTACGCCAGGCCACGATACGTACCGTACCACCAGACGTATCTCAAGGATGCCGATCTAAGTCTGTGCAACTGCGGCGCGAGGATCACGCCGTACAATCGTTTAACACCCGCGTCGGGGGTAGGAAAAAAATATTCTGAATATTCTTATTGACTCTAGCCAAGGCTAGCAACGGGAACTTATCATGGGTACATTCTCTTTAAATTCATTACGTTCTTAAATTCTTTCACTGACACGAATTCCGAAGAGAAAATAACTCGCCGCCGAATTCCTTGTCCGAGGAAGAAAATTTGCAAACAGATTGTTCCGGTGGACGTCGCACAAAGTATTTAAACGGCGAACGATATAAAAAAATTACAACATCGCGTCTAGCATCATTTAAACTCGCGATCTGAAGAATCCTATTATGCAAGTATCAAAGATTTTCCTTGAATCGGTGAAACAAGCGACATCCTGTCGATCCATCAACGGCTAGATCATTCCGATCAGCTCCTAGGAGCGTCTTGTTTGCTTTCCGTGACTTCCGTGGAACGCGCGTGCATAGCCGGAAGCTGCGATGTCACGTAACGCTAGAATTCACGCGAGTACATTCATTGAAAAAAGTTGACGGATGACGAACTTTTGATTGATTTTACATAATTTAACATTCAGCGCCTGACTAAATAAATTATTGAGAAACGAAGCTTCTATTGCGTTCAGGCTACATTTTTTAAATATTCACGAGGCATCTGACGTTTCATAGAATTCATTACCCGTTTCATTTGTCGAACGGAACACGACTGAGCACAGGCGTCTGTCTCTGATCTCCGGCGCTGTAAAAATCGTATAGAAAAAAAAGCACAGACAATCGTCCGACCGGTCTTCCCTTCCGACTTTGCCTCTTCGCCTACGGATCCTGTTCCGAATTAATTTTAAGCACTCGGAATTAACGAACGATCACTGTTGCTCGTTCGTCTGTACATTTCTTTCTTTTTATCTCTAATCTCTCCTTTTCGTACTGTCAATTTACGTCGCGGACAGGTCGAGAAGTTCGAACCGGGAGGGAAGGTAACGTTCGAGGGATGAAGAAATCCCCCTTCAAGTAGTTACGGTCGATGAAAGGTACGACGGCATACCGACACGAATTTTCTTTTCTCGCGTCGCGCGTTTAACACGATCTCTATCCCTTAAAAAAGTAACCTCATGTGCTCGTACGGCGCACACTATACATATATAAATATAAATAAAATAGATATATAAATAAATATAAATATAAATATATATATATTATACATAAAGATACGAGAGGAACGAAGAACACACACGTATACACAATATTATTGTATATGTATGATATCATTATATATATTATATATGTAATTACTGACGCATACATACATATATATATATATATAAATGTAGGACCGTATCATACATATATACGATGTAACAGACACAAGGATAAACAAATATATTCTATAGAATATTGTACGTTCGCTAATGTTATGTATAGTACACACAGAGTTAAGGAGATATACATATATATAAATATATATATAGAGTACATATAATTATGTGTATAACGTACGTAAGCGGTAAGTAAACGCATAGTTATGTATAAGATATAGGATTATGTATACTTAGGTAGAATTGATAAAGAAAGAAACGGTATGACGTTCAAGTAAACCGCTACAAGTAGACGCGTCCGAAACGGTAGATAAAAAAGAAAAAAGTGAAAAAAGCTGGATTTTTAGTCAATCGGAAGTCGACGACGCATGCTCATATTACGTGGCTTCTTTATTCGAATTTATCGCGTATCGTCTCGTAATCAGAGTGAACATTAATGATGATGATGATGATGATAATGATGATGATGTACTGGGACGGAATGGTGCTCTTCGATAGGTGAAACGTATCGTTTGTTTCATCGTCCCGTGAAGAAGACGCGACGGTTCGGTTGATCAATTAATTAGGTAGACGCGCTATTTAGGTGGATGGGCCGACGGTGTCGCTGATTCGATACAACGCAAGTGCATTTCGCGTGTGCTTTTAGCGAATAGAAATGAATTTTTCCTAGAAGCTCAATTGAAGATAGGAGTTGTTAAGATTACATCCCAAGTGGACTTACTCGTTTCGTTTAAATTTAATAACACCAAGCTTTTTCTACGAGCTTGGCTTCTAGGAAAGAAACGAGACGTTCGATTTTCGAGTGTCTTCGGGAAACGAATGACTTGACGAGATTTCTTTGTCTGATCGTTCGATCGGTAGACGGAGAATCATATTGGTTCAAGCCAATCCACCGATATCTTTTTTTTTATCAAACAATTTTATGTTAATTATGATTCTCAGTCAATTATTAAAATTCTCACGATTCGTCTACATTTTCTGACACTGTCATCCCGACGAATTCAGATGCCGAAAACTAGACGAAAAGTGTCTTTTACTATCGAAAGGGTGGTAGACGAATTTTTAGTAGATTTCTAGTAGAGTTGTATCGAATGACACACGGGAGGAAAATCGTCGATTGGCCGACGCGAGCAGACTCAGCCCTGTGGGTATCAGAGATCCGTGAGATACACAATTATCGTCGATTTAAAAACATCTAATTTATTACTGGAAGATCTGATCTATTATTGACCCTATTTTCCTACCAAATTTTAATTTCTCACTTCCAAACGAGGTAAACACTCAGAACCATTATTGTGCTTACATAATTAAGTACAGAGTTGATCAAATCGTTCCTATCATTACGGCTAATACATTTAGATACCATTAATCGCTGGTTAAATTTCAATGATAGTTAAAATTAGATTATTTTGTATCTCACAGGTGTGTTCGTTTAGACGACTCTGGACGTTCGGTTTGCTCGGCCAGTAGCGACGAAGAAAGTCAATTTTATCGACAAATATGGTTAAGTCCTAGGGTAACCCATGCGCGTACCGATAGTATATACTCGCGGGGGTGAAAACACGTTTACGCTAGGAGGGTGGCCGGCCCGGATGACGGACAAAAGGCAAAACGCCAACGACGACTGACCAACTGTTGCTACGTCGAGCGTAAACATACATACTTAGAGTTTAAGTTTCCCTTTTTTTCATCCTTTCTCCTTCTTTCACGAGCCATCGGTCGAACGAAAGGAATCACGCTTCTTAAAATAGAGGAAAAAAAAGAATGTGCACCACGTATTTATAACTAAGTTTGCAATTAAATGAATTCGACGAATGAGGATTAAATCAAATTTTATTTGCGATGCAAAAGATTTCTGTTGGCTAAGATTTATTTGAGACGGCGAGGTCTTCGTTCGACTTTCTCCATGTGCGTTGGAACACGTGAACATAATAGAGAACTGCCATTTACCGAGTGCAATACAATGTACAAAACGAAACGTGGTCAGCCGTCGTTCCTTGTCTCGTCCGTCTGCCGCGTACCCTTCAACAATTTTCCTTCGTTAAAGCGAACAGCGAATCGACCGAGCTTCACGCGCTGGCGAATCTAAAGATACGAAGCTAATCGTAAGTGTTCATAAAAGAATATAATTAACACAGGTCGAATCTAATTCTTAATCGAGAGAAAGAGTGAGAGAGTGAGAGAGAGAGAGAGAGAGTGAGAGTATCGACGAGTGTGACTGACAATGTGATCCGCGCGAGAGGAACGTTGACACACGGTGATCGATGGGAGGGAAAGGAAAAATAAAAACGAATCACACGAAATTTCTAAGCTATCCGTCCACTGAATGTAGAATTTCGAGTCGGGTCGAAAGCGCTTGCGTCGTTGCGTGACAGGATTAAAACGATGTTCGATTTTCTGGCTCTCCTTATTCAAAAATTGATTCAGTGCTCATACGATTTCCCTTTGTGGCTGTGATAACGTTCATACGAATCCGTGTGTAACGTACGACGATACAAAGTTCTCGCACAAAAGTCGAAAATATAGATATTGTACGTGAATGCTCGAATCACTTGTTTCACGAACTTCCCGCTGCATTTTTAAATAAATCAAATGTTTCCGCTTTACTGTCCCCGAATTTGGCACACGTTCCCTGAACCGAGGTTTTCGACGAGATCCCCGAGAAAGCCTTCCCGGTTCTTCACGCAAGGCGCAATCGTGTCGCACGATCCATGGCCGTGAACGATCATCGACGCCGCGTAGGCGACGCTTGGTGGAACGACCCTTGAATAAAAAAAAAAAGAACCACCAGCAAGAGTACTTTCCTCCACCGTGATTCAGCATACGTAAGCGCGAGAGAACTCGTTTGCATAGCGAGATACCTTAGACAAATATGTTACTATACCTAGAAATTACAAGAATATATATATATATATATACATATATATATAATTACGTAGTCAATGTTAATTGGAAAGTGCGAGGTGCGAATCCTAATCTAATTTACGCTTAACCCAATCTCCCCTTTTCGTCTACGAAGAAATTGCGACCCGGAATTTCATCTCTTGTGATGCAAATCGCTGGATATATTTATTGCACAGCATTTCATTTATCGCGTGTCAAATTCGTCGAAATGTAACAATGAATAATATATAAGATAGACAATAAAATTTCTATCAGATCACGCTCTTCGATAATAATAATAATAATAATAATAATTTGAGTGCGTACATCTTTTAGACAAATTGCTAGGAATGGAATAAATTTAATTCTAAGGGACTGTAAACCAATAGCGCACCAATTATTTTATTATACTGCCATGAATATATTCAGCGGGCCAACGAGGAGAAGCACGTCGGTCAAACCGTCGACTCGTACTACTGGCGGTTTTTTGATTACCCGTTCGATGCTAAATCTTCCGGGTTCGCTCGATGAATCTAAAGCGAATGGGTCGATGCCCGTTTGGGGTAGGTATGAATCGTGGTCACTGTTAAATGAATTAATAATAATAATAATAATTTGAGTGCGTACATCTTTTAGACAAATTGCTAGGAATGGAATAAATTTAATTCTAAGGGACTGTAAACCAATAGCGCACCAATTATTTTATTATACTGCCATGAATATATTCAGCGGGCCAACGAGGAGAAGCACGTCGGTCAAACCGTCGACTCGTACTACTGGCGGTTTTTTGATTACCCGTTCGATGCTAAATCTTCCGGGTTCGCTCGATGAATCTAAAGCGAATGGGTCGATGCCCGTTTGGGGTAGGTATGAATCGTGGTCACTGTTAAATGAAAATAATTACTATATATATATATGTATACATAGAACGGAGAGTGCGAGTGAGTCGACGTATGTGAGAGAACGACGATAATTAAGGAGCGTGGCTTTCCGACGGCGACGGTGTCCAATTTTCTTTTCGATCTTCGATTCGGACGAGAATCGTTTCCACTGTTACCGATCGCAAACTATCCCTTGTGTCCCTGTAGCATTATCACTTTCCCCTGTCTTCTTCTTCTTCTTCTTTTTGCAGATTATGCGCGAAGCACAAACGTTTGAAAGGAAACTGTATAAGATATGTAGACACATTTGAAAAACTTGAGTTGTATATTTAAACATGAACACTATTTAATATATGATTCAAGCTTATAATAAACGGGTTGTATAGAATTGTGATTGTGAATCCTACCGTCCTTTATTAAGAATCCAATTTTCTTGATCATAGGATTTAGAAGATCTGTCGAAGATTATATTGTTCGAAGAACGACGAGAGGTAAGTGCGATTTCAGATTATTTCTCTGAAAAAGTAGAGTGGAGTCTAAGCGGGCGGAGGGGGACGGGGGAAAAATAAAAATGACACGCGGGCCCGCCATCGAGTGTAGACAAGCATAAGATTTCTATATCTTTTGGAATCGGGTATATACGGCCGAGTTACGGTCCGAAACTTTCAAGATTTCTCGCGACTTTCGAAACCTTTAAAGACCCGTCCGCGATTCCAGTAATGTTCGGAACGATCCGACGAAACTTTTCGAAATCGCCGATTTGCCCGAAAACTTTACTCTCATTTCTGTCTTTATCGTCAGCCAAATTCTCGGCGAAGGTATCTACTAAACACACGCGACAATTTTCATTTATCTGTCATTATCGATCGATCAATCGATACTCGTGAGAACGACAGGAATGATAAATAATTTAATGAACAAAGCGTACACGTTCGTTGTCGTAATTAGACTAAAGACCATAGAAAATGAATTTGAATTCACTTAGGCAAATTTCGGGTAAGCATTCGGCAGACTCTGTGGGACGATACGAGGTTGAGAAATTAGATGTAGCGATGTCCCTCTCTTCTACATACGCGCGTCTCGTCGAGGAAATCGTTAATCAGTGTCAGGGACGAAGAATGGCGCATTGTGGTATCAAACGAAAGGAAGGTAAGAGGTCTCGGTGGGGTCGAGAGACAGGAAGGAAGACTTAAAATGGGACTCTTAAGTGCGAGTGTATACTCGGTCCCTTTCATGCACTTATCTATGGCCAGGCCAAGAATTTTCTCTTTCAAATTTTCACAACGCGAATTCTCCCTCCCTTGGCAATATCAGAATTTATCAGAGGCAGTGACGAAAACATCGAAACACCGCCGTGCGTTTAAAAGCGTTCGTTATTAAACTTTTCCCATAGTAGCATTTTAAAATGCGTATAAATAAATTGAAAAAAAAAAAAAAATGATTAAAGCGAAATATAGGATAGCTTGTCGATACTTTCCGTGACCACCGCACAGATAATAATGAACAGATCGAGCGCGCGGAATACGTTGAATTGAGAATTAATCGTGACTTACGTTAATTAAATGAAGCGGCCGTGCGATTTTAAATTGAAACCGATCTAATTAGTTGTAAAATATTTCTGACAAAGGGTACCGACAGTTTTAATTGCACAGTTTGTTAGATTCAATTATTTTACATGCGCCCCTACGTCGAAATTCAATTTTTCCTCTGACGTTCTAAATATTTCATTAACCGAGCGTACACACCTCTTCGGTCATTATTTTTGCAATAACGCGAAGGGAGAGCTTCATTTGAAATGTTGAAAAATTGACAGGGCCGCGTAATTAAAATTCGTATCGAATATTTTGAAACTCGTTTCTCCCCAAAACGTTCCAGTTTTTTTATTTGAAAAAATAAAAAAATGCGTTTCAAATCTATTTTCCCTTTATTACGTTCAATCGACGTACGTATTTCCTTTTGGCTCGTCGAAGTGACAAGGCAATAATAACCGGGCAACAAAAGGCGACACAGTGATACCACAAAAAACTGCAACTGTGCAAATTAAAAACGTGCGTATCAAAGGGGGAAACGATCGCGCACGACGATTAAACGTTCCTTCAAAGGGCCGGACCGTCGTCGCGCGTATACAGCGTAAAACGTGATCGTTAATTCAGCCGCTACTAGCCACGGGCGTTGAATCGCGGAATCAAAAAGAAAACCGTGAAACACGAGAGAGGCCGGGGGGGGGGGGGGAGAGCCTGTGCCCTTAATTGTTTTGCAGCCGAAGAGGAGGCCGCATTAGGATAAAGCTCGACGATACTCGGACGCAATCTCGGCTCGCCGAGCAGCCTCGACACCTTCTCGGTTCACCCTACGGACACGGTGGATGAAAAAAACTGCGGACGGAGTTGCACCGGGCTTGAGAAAAACCGGCGAGAATTTAATTAAGAGTCTACCGTGGACGGAGGGGCGCCATACTGTCGTGGCATACACGCGACTTTCCTTCGCGGGTCTAATTAAATTCAAAAGAAATCTTCTCGTTCCCCGACAGGTTCTTTCTTAGAAAGAAGTTTCATCGCCCGTCGGTTTTATCTAACTGTTATTACTACATAAATGCGAGCCACGCTCACGTGCCAATCTATGTTGTATGATTCTTCTAATATCCATTCTTATCGAAAACGTTCTCCTTTGTACATTTGCGTTTGTCCAATTAGACCGCTTCAATTTCTTCGTCGCAAATAGGTACGCGTTAATTATGAGTAATTCCAAAGTCAACGACCATTTGTTCATTCTTCGTGAGAATTCCGAGATGAACGAGGTACTACGGCGGCAAACAGGTGAATTTAAAAAGTACTTTTCCAGGAGAACGGAGAGGCGGTTATAAACACCTGTTAAAGTGTGTAATGATAGTAAACAAGGAACGTCGGAGCAAACATTTTGACGAAACCGGGAAGATTTGTCCAATTGGCTGAGAAAACGTATCTCTCGGCTCCCGTGAACATAGTATCAATATGCATAAGGGGTGCACGAAAGGGGTTGGAACTCACCCTTGGAACACTTCTTCTACGTTCCGTCGACTATAACGAGCTATGAATTATGAATCGACTGCGGGAATAACGATCTCCGTGGCCCCTGGTTCTTCTTACGATTGTTCAATTTAGCAAACACTCCAGCGGCTCCGACGATAAACATTGTTAAAATTATTATTACACGATCGCATTTCAACTGTGATTAACCATTCAGTAAATCAGGTTAATTCAATTTAAATTCATGTTCTCCACGCATTCCTCTTTATTTACAGTCTTCGTCTTCCCGTAGTGACATGAGTTTAAAACACGTGTCAATATTCCCTTTCATATATTCATAAATAAAATGAAATAATTAATCGATTACTTCCCTGAAGCATTCGAGATAAAAGAAAATTGTATACGACCAATCTTGTAGATAATAGCAGTATCTACAACTTTTATTTGAAGCATTTTTCGAAATTCCGAGAAAAGAAATTTCCAATTTCTCGAGATTTTAAGTATGTCCCCTTTCAGATTCTCCGAAATTTTCGTATTTCTTTAAATACTTCTAAACGTACGGAAAAATTGCATTGGACATTTTTTGTAGCTGACGACTACAGCTACAACTTTTGTTTAAAATATTTTTCGCTGACGTCAATAATTAATTACTTAATTAATTACATTTTTTTTCGTCCAAGCGAAAAATGTTTCAAGCAAAAAGTTACAGCTCCCACTCTTTAGTAGTATTTCCTCGGTGCTTTGCATATACCAGCACATCCACGCGAGTTCAAAGAATCGATCGCCGTATGCCCTCTACGAGCCACAGCAATCAGTTCATCGTCAAGCTTGCTTGGTAAAATAAATAATCAATTAAAACGACCATTGTAAAACGATGCTAGAAAACGTGAATGCGACAAGAATTAATTGACAAAGATAAATGAACCGCAATTCATATTTTTCTAACGTACTGACTACTGGCAAAAGAGGACCCGACCTCTGGTACTGCAGTAGCCTGCTCTGTCAGAAATCGATACGATATCCTCAGTGAGTAAGAGGTAAATTTCTGCGCGAGCACGACTGGTGTCTCTGGTCGAGGAGACACCAGGCGCAGGAGCCTCGAGGGGTACGCGATCCTAAAGGGTAGCAGTCGGCAGGAGTTTAGTCGGTGCCGGTCCCGAAACGCGTTCACGTCTGGACATTCCTGCGGGACACGCATAACTTAAAGATGGCAACAGACATGTACATTTGATAGGGCGGCCAGTCGTGTTCGCAAACGAGAACCGGTCCGGTCCCTGAGGAGAGAAACGATAACGGGAATAATGAGCGACTGACGCGGGGGTGGCGTCGGGTGATAAACGCGGCTATGAACGGATAGAAGAACCGGTGGTCGGTCCTTTGCTCAGTCCGAGAAAAATCCTCGAAAAAGGGAGGAGAGCTGACTCTTCCCGTCTTTTCTAAGCGACTCCGTGCGAGCCGGTTGTGTGGAAACGTTAGGCACCCCCGATGGCACGCCCGTGACCAATGGTCCCCCAAGACAAAGGTAAGCAATTTCCCACGGGATACCCTCTGTCCGAATTAATTCCGCGCCTCGCTCTTTGCGAATCACATTCCTTCTCAGTGGATCGTCTGGTACGAATTAAATCGGCAAGAAATGATCTGCAATGATTTCGTGAAGATCCTCGTTCACTTCCTATTGGCAATACATATACATAGAGAAACAATTTATATTTAAATTATTCATTTTTCTTATTTCGATTCTGGGATGTGAATTTCTTCATCGGGATTGATGAAAACTGAATAGATACGATTGATACGCAACGACCTGGCAAATTATTCATTTTCTACTGATCAGAAGAATAAATCTTGTGTTTTCTTTTTCTGGGACGTAAATTTATAAGCAGAAATAGTAATAATGCTGAGAATGACTATATTGTTTGCTGAATCCGTTAGAATGATTAACAAAGCGAAATTGTTGATGTGAACGTTCTCCCAGTCACCCACCGCGCTATTAAATTCCTCACGGACGTTGACTCTGTCGGGGTTGTACGTAATTTCACGGCAAGATGAAAACGCAGCTATTTCTGTTCATTATTATATATTAACAGAAGCTACACGAACAGCAAAAGCTTCGCGTGCTGTATAATATATCATATGCCGTATAATTACATTATACGCTGGATAAAACTTGGAAAAACGTTTCAATTTTCATTTGCTTTGGCTGGCTTTGGATTCGTTTCACCAGGACGCGTGCTGTTCTCTTAAAATTCAAGACGTGCCAGGGCCGTGGTAGCGCGCGAACAGCCGTGGGAGAACCGTTGTTGAATTTACGAACGGTTGTCCGACGCAATTTGCTTAAAACGCGTGCAAAAGGGGTGTAATTTACGACGGGAAGATCGTTATCCCAGCTTCGCTCGATATTATGCGGGAATTCTTGCCGCGGACTGTTCGAAGGTTGCCACTGCTTGACTTGGCGAATTATAAATTGAAAAAGAATATGTGCGTGACGTTTAAAAGTTTGTTAAACGAAATTTTCCGAGGTTTCGATTCTGGGATGTGAACTTCTTCATCGGGATTGATGAAAACTGAATAGGTACGATTGATACGCAACGATCTGGCAAATTATTCATTTTCTACTGATCAGAAGAATAAATCTTGCTTTTTTTCTTTTTCTGGGACGTAAATTTATAAGCAGAAATAGTAATAATGCTGAGAATGACTATATTGTTTGCTGAATCCGTTAGAATGATTAACAAAGCGAAATTGTTGATGTGAACGTTCTCCCAGTCACCCACCGCGCTATTAAATTCCTCACGGACGTTGACTCTGTCGGGGTTGTACGTAATTTCACGGCAAGATGAAAACGCAGCTATTTCTGTTCATTATTATATATTAACAGAAGCTACACGAACAGCAAAAGCTTCGCGTGCTGTATAATATATCATATGCCGTATAATTACATTATACGCTGGATAAAACTTGGAAAAACGTTTCAATTTTCATTTGCTTTGGCTGGCTTTGGATTCGTTTCACCAGGACGCGTGCTGTTCTCTTAAAATTCAAGACGTGCCAGGGCCGTGGTAGCGCGCGAACAGCCGTGGGAGAACCGTTGTTGAATTTACGAACGGTTGTCCGACGCAATTTGCTTAAAACGCGTGCAAAAGGGGTGTAATTTACGACGGGAAGATCGTTATCCCAGCTTCGCTCGATATTATGCGGGAATTCTTGCCGCGGACTGTTCGAAGGTTGCCACTGCTTGACTTGGCGAATTATAAATTGAAAAAGAATATGTGCGTGACGTTTAAAAGTTTGTTAAACGAAATTTTCCGAGGCGCTTTCCGATTTTATTACCGATGTAACGTAACGAATACTGGGTACAGTATAACGTATAGGAGACACGTATTAGCTATTCAAAATGCTGAACATGAATATCGGGCTCCGGGGACAAGGCAAACTGAAAAGCTTTTCTTCCTTTTCTCCTATTCCCTAGATTACCAGACATACTATCCGTCCTCATTTTCTCAAACTTGCATGAAAGCCTTATAACATACTGCATCGCAAATTCGCACATCTCCTTAATGCATCTTACGTAATCTTACAATTTCCAAACTCAAATCGCCCGAGCACGATCCAAATATGTAGTGAGAATCTGTAGTAAGTGAATTGGAATAATTATTAAAAGAGTCATTTCGTAATACTTAATTCTCCTCTAGTCGAATATTCTCTCGTTAAGAATCTATTTGTACGAATTTTATTTATGCACTTGCATAACATTTTTTCCCGTCGGGGAATTTGCATTATTTCCATTGACCGTCCAGGTATGCGGGTCCCCTATGTGTTTTCAGTAGCGCGCATCAATCATTGAAATTAATGCACATAAATTGCACTAAAACAGGCCCGGAATGGTCATCTCCCGTGTTAACGCAGAAACGTCGAACCATATTATATCTAGTCGACAGTGGAAAATTATTCCCGCAATGAACATGTCCTCGCGTACACGGAATTATACCCGCAACACTTTTTCCTAGTTGGTTGAATCAATTTTTATTCAAATTTTTATGCAAATTAAAGCATTTCTAGTAGCCAGTTAAAAAATGTATTTCGCGTCGGGGTTGCGATGTACATTTGCTTCTGACATTTTTATACATCGCATGCTACGTTTCTGTAGTTCAGTATAGAATTTCTTTTAATGAAACGAACAAATTACTTGGTATTAATTTCAGTGTACTTCGAAGTCCAATCCTTTTTCCAAACGAAGCTTACGCTACCATTAGACAACGGACGTCCGAGTTTCATTAACGTTTTTCTTCGTGTATCGTGTTACGTGATGAAAAGGCTTTTCCGATCCGGTTTTCGGCCGTCAGTCAGCTAAGCTCGCAGTATCTCGGGTCTCGGATCGCGTAGTTAAAAAAAAGGAACGTAATCAGTGTTGTACAGGAATTTTCGTTTTCGTAGAACAGCGTGAAATCTGAACGAATCGGGTTTCGAATCCGAGTATCGTAGCCATCGAGAATTTCACAATTTCCGGTGGAGTCCAATAATTTCCTCGTTCGCTGACGACCTCGATCGACTTAGCCATGATCAAATGAATTTAAATTGCACCCCTTGCAGTTCGCTATTGCACACGTGAGGAATACGAGGGACTTGCAACGACTAAACATTTCATGAATATTTCTTGTCGCAAACACATTTTCAACTCGACTCTCCGTGTTCGTCCAGTTCGCACGGACTTTTAATACGTTTAAATATGAAACAAATGAGTTGCTAGATAAATCAGAGGTTGACCCGTCAAAATGTTCTGACATCAAACTAAAAAAATTGGCTTCCCTTTAGCAGTGCGCCGAAAAAGAGACGGTTGAAAAATTTCCAGCCTGACAAAGGGAGTGTCAAACCGTCAATCGTTCGACGCTGTCGACCATGTCGTTCGTTTCGCGCAGTCGTTCACTTGCAGTCCCTCTTAAAGCTATCTAACCATCAAAAATTCCCGTGAAAATACGCGGCCCCGACAGAGAGAAAAAATGGGAAACAGGGGTAAAGGGGTAAAAATACACCGTGTTCGAGAGATCGGGTCTCTCTCACGGCTCGTTTTCAAACGGCGCGGCGGCGCCCGGATTGAAACCCCGGCGAATAACCGGGTAGAAAAACCGTGTCAACGATCGCCGCGACGAAGCACCTGAATTAACCGCAGTTTAATGTTTACAGAACCCTCGACGATATCTACCGTGGGTGCCAATCGATACATCGCACCGAAAAGAGTTTCGAGCACCTCTTCTCCTCTCAAAAATTATACTCCCCGTTCTATAATCTAATTCGACGATAAACCGAAGTCACTTTGAGACTGACGATAATTGTGAAGTCGTTTTAAAAATTAAATCATTAGCCCGTGTAATTTTTAAGACGACTCGATAAAAAATTATCAATTCTATATGGGATGGAAGGAAAAATTGCGTCGTGATGTAACTCGATTAGGAATCAGAGGGGAATATCGATACGAGAAGTAGCGTAACGTATGTTTCCCGGTCTCTTTAACAACGTTTATCATCCGCGGGTAGAACGTGACGCGAATAACGGCGGATCGGGCAAAGAGGAATACGTGCCGCGCGTTTCAGATACGGCGGAGACGCACGAATCACGATCACGCGAGAATCTCGAGGAATTTCATTTTTCCGCGCGTCGTACACGCGTCGATGCAACGCGGCGGCGACGTCTCCGCGCGAATGTGCCCTCGAGTGTCTTTAGGAAGATACGCCGGGAAACACATCCTCCTAGGAATGTCGCGAAAGATTTCCCTCTCGGCGTTTTCTCGTTACACGCGACGCGAGATTATTCACGAAATCGCATTTGGCGCAAGAAATTTAATCCTATTAAGTTACCTCGTTTCAAAGAAGAGATCATTCGCCTGTATCGGTTTCTATTAACTCCTGAGTAAATGACAAAGCGATGTATGCGCGACGAAGCTGTACGCTCTGACAGTTTTTATTTAAAACCGAGTTTAGAAATTCGCAAATGGCTAAATACAAATTCGGCAGGATTCGGCATTTTCGTTTGGCGAGAAACTCGACACTCGGCGCCGGGGTTCGAATCGGAAATCGATACACCGTCGCGTTGCTTACATGCACGTCATTATCAATCACCGGTGCCGGAAATTATTACTTACTACGAGCTTGTAGATCGGTAAAGTCCGAACGATGATGATCGATGCGTTCACGTACCACTTTCATGATTTCTTATGCTCTGACATTCATATTTTCAATGCACAGGCAAAATCGACAAGAATCATTAGAAATGACGTGACATTCAACACGATTAAAATCAGAACGGTCGAATGTACAAAATATACAAAACTTAAAATAATTTATTAAATCATTATTAAAATGAATAAATGAAAAAGTTTAAACAAGACATTATCAATGACCCATACGTCTATGAAATCAATACGAATTTTCCCTGTATGATTAAAATCACTCACGTACGCCTGGCTTGAAATTAATTTAATTATTCCTTTGATATGTATGATAATTGGAAACTATTTATTCAATACCTAGTCGTATGATAGGCTGTTCAATGAATCCTTGTTAAGCATTGCGAGAAAATCGATCGCAGAAACGTCGTTCACAGTGGGAAACGCGAATAGTCGGCCGAACGGTTGACTCGTACTACTTAAACTGCACTGTAATCGCTGCTGTCGCGTAGCAGGAAGAAGTGGCTGACAATTTATGCTTGGAAAAAATCAAATCGCTTAATTAACGATCGATCAAAGTCGTTCCTCTGACGTTCGACAATTTTTTTGTTCATTCTCTGTCCCGCTTCGCTAGTACCAATTCCCAACAATTTCCAGGGACAAATTGAACCCGGTTCGCAGCTCGCAACAGCACAAATGCACGAGGGGTTGCGAGCTTGGATATTCCGCACACATTTTACGTTTGCCCGTGTCTATGTGTTACGTCTGTACGTGCACAGAGTGGAGTAACCGAATGCACTTTGCAATTGAATTTCAGGCGGGAGAAGAAGAAACCGCTTCTCACCTTAGAGGACAGAGGGAGAAGAAAATATGGGGAAGGGTGACAAAAGGGGCACCCCCCAGCGCAGCGACGGTGAGTGTTTGTTTAATGTTAATTGAGCGCCAGCTGCACTCGCGTTTTACTACCGTCGACGCCACTTTTAATAAACTTCCACCTGCGAATGAAACCCGTGTTTGATTCCACGAGTACTGAATTATTATTGCGCGAATCGTTACCCTCGTTTAATGTTTGATGTCAGTCGTGCAACTGAAATTAATTTACAAGATTTCGTTCGATTCTCACACTGCGAAAACGTGAAAGTTCATATCTTCTTTATAACTCGAAGAACAATTAGATGACGTATAGAATTTCGTAATAATTGGAGTTGAATCGTATGGCAAAATTTGGTATGAAAATAATAAGGATAAAGACGATTCGTTTTGTCAACACGATTTTTGATCCATGTTCGTGTCAAGCGTGTATAAAATAGGAATTTGTAAAGCTTTCCCCAGCTTTATCTTATTGTTAGTTAAAGTTGCAGGAACTTTGGAGTAGTTTCGGAGCTGACGTACTAGGGAGAAGTTCCGGCGAAACTTTTTTCGGAAAATTCTAACTTTTTTGGGTGGTCGGAACTTTCCTTGCTCTCGAAATTTTACTTTTCGATTGCTTCCGAGCGTGCTGTTTAGTTTCACTTGTAGTTCGGTAGATTGCAATCGAAAATCGTGTACCAATTTTTACGCTCTGCATCGATAAACGAACTTCGATCCCTTTTTTATCGAATATACACATAAAATGTAAGAGGCAGTGCTGTTAAATAGTTTTCTAAATGATAATAAATTTTACAGAATTTTATACATAAATTCATTCACTGATCAAATTGATCTTCGTAAGATTTTAGACTTTACGACGTGAATTGTTTCGTTGAATGTGGTAATTTATGGGACGATACTATTAGACTTTAATGAAGCCTCGTGATGAACGTGTGACATATCTCTGGTATCAGCGGTTCGCGCGTCACGGCCGATCTTATCCAACGAGCTTACGTGCACACGTACGTGGGGTAAATTGAGTCGCCGAAAGGGTCGTGTATAAAATAGGAATTTGTAAAGCTTTCCCCAGCTTTATCTTATTGTTAGTTAAAGTTGCAGGAACTTTGGAGTAGTTTCGGAGCTGACGTACTAGGGAGAAGTTCCGGCGAAACTTTTTTCGGAAAATTCTAACTTTTTTGGGTGGTCGGAACTTTCCTTGCTCTCGAAATTTTACTTTTCGATTGCTTCCGAGCGTGCTGTTTAGTTTCACTTGTAGTTCGGTAGATTGCAATCGAAAATCGTGTACCAATTTTTACGCTCTGCATCGATAAACGAACTTCGATCCCTTTTTTATCGAATATACACATAAAATGTAAGAGGCAGTGCTGTTAAATAGTTTTCTAAATGATAATAAATTTTACAGAATTTTATACATAAATTCATTCACTTATCCAATTGGTCTTCGTAAGATTTTAGTCTTTACGACGTAAATTGTTTCGTTGAATGTGGTAATTTATGGGACGATACTATTAGACTTTAATGAAGCCTCGTGATGAACGTGTGACATATCTCTGGTATCAGCGGTTCGCGCGTCACGGCCGATCTTATCCAACGAGCTTACGTGCACACGTACGTGGGGTAAATTGAGTCGCCGAAAGGGAATAAGCAAAAGGGCCCGTGCATATTTGCAACCAGAGAGAGAGAGAGAGAGAGAGTTCTCGTTTGCCGGTTTCCGCCACGCGCTGCCCCGTTTCCAGCCCCGTTTGCCTGTTTACAGCCAAACCTCTTCGATGGCAGCTGGCGCTCGCCTCTTTATTTGACACGCCAAAATATCAGAGTCTAATTATACGTACCGTTCGAGGAATATACATATTAAACCGGCCAGTGGATCAAGTATGATAATTAGTGCCCGACCTGTTCCTTTGTTCGCGAATGTAAATGCCAGAAACTTATCCCTGGCCTTATCCTTCGTTTCAAGAGACAAAGAGAAAATCTTAATCCAATGAATGTACGGCTTATGCTCAATGAATACTCGTCTAGAATGTATCAAGTCTCTCGCTTCGTTTTAATATACAAATTTGTTCAAGTCTCAACGAATATTAGAACGAAACATCGTTTAATTAAGAAGACTTCTAGGATATTTTTTTATGAAGCCTCGTTTTAATTAAACGAGCACAACGTTATCGATGTTTCAGAAACTTCTCTTGTAGTTATTATGAAAACCTCGCGCGAACGGATGATCGATTAATGAAAACTAAACTCTCGTGTTTCAAAATATAATTTTCGATACACTTGCGTAGAAACAATTATGTAAAAATGTAACAGTTGATCGAAATACTTTGTACCAAAGTTCTCGAGATTAATAAACCGAGACCGCCGAGTCATAAATAGAAAATGAGAAGAAGACTGTAACTGTAAATAAGGGAAATAAACTCGAGACGAGGTAAACGAAGACAAGCTTAAGGAGGCATTAGCATAACTTTCGACGAAGTTCGTTAAAAGCGGGTCCGAGTTTCGCGACGCGAGGAAGGGTTTCAAATTCCAGGATTAGTTAACGGGTAACGAGTGTGCGTGCGGGAATTTTTCCAACAAGGGTTTGAAACGAACCGGCGCATTGTGACTCCGTCGAAGACTCGGCGAGAAATATAGATAAAGGTGTCCGGGGTCGAGAAGATGAAAAGGGGTTGAAAAGGTACGCGGTAAAAGTGGCGGCTCGAACTTGCGGCAAAAGGAAGACAATGGCCGTGGGAATTGTTAGCACAGATGCTGCCGTCTTCGTTCGTCTCCCAATTTTCTTTCTCAAACCGCGGTTTGAAGAAGAAAAATCCCGTGTTATCAAATAAATGAAAAATAATTTTTCTACCTTTTCACCGGATGATCGAACGCCGCGAATTCGAAACTATTTCATTTAAATGCTTCAGAAGCGCTTGCACATATTTCGCGTCGCAGACGAGTCGGACGCAATAAAATCAAGATTGAAAACATAAAATTCGATGAAAACTAATAGCGAAGAGGAATGCGGTGAGCGAAAGTGGAACGTGTATCGACACAGGCTGGGAGGGAAAAGACGATTGGTTCGGGTATCGTCGGTGCCTAAACGCACCTGTCTCCCGTCGATCAGTTATTGGGATTTCTGCACGCAGCGCACCCCTTCAGAAAACTCGTTCCCTCGGAATTATTCGAAATTCTTCTACGGGTAGATCCAATCGCATCCCATCACGTGTTTTAATAATAAAAAGTCCAACCGGAATTTCTCTTATTCGAATACTTTCTTCTTTATTGCGGTAACATCTATGGAGTTTCATAATTATCGTGAAAGGAACCTTTCCTAAGGAATTACGTAGAATCTTTTATCATACAGTTTCATGGAAATTACTGCGAGACGCATAAAGAGAAACTCAAGGGTGGAGTTCGATATTTTGTTAATTGTGTAATAAAGCAGAGTGCACGCGTTGAGGGTAAACCGAGCTGATAGATGTCAACGTAGCTGGGAAACATCAACGGGCCGACAGCGAAGGAGGTCTCGCGATACGGTGATCGATGCAACGCGACAAAGCGAGCCGAGGATCTGTCAGCTCGGTAAAGAGGCCTCGTTTGTTTCGGCCTGATACGGACTCGGGTATCCCGTCGCGGAGTCAAACTAGTCCGTGCAAACGTCGATCACGTTGCATTCGATTATGTACAATTACGTAACAGCACCTCTCTGTGCGCACGTGCGTCGTTGTAATGTCTAACGAGCACATGTAGTTCTCAGGGAAATTCATTTTGTTAGGAAATATCACACCTTTGATTTTCCATCGATTCTGATAATAATTCGTTTTACTCAATTATTAAGATCCTTTTTCTCTGTTGACGTAAAATTACATGCTTGCAGTACGAATAATTATATGAGACAAACATCCATATTTACTTTTTACCTCGATTTCATTCGGCAAACATGAAACTCTGTTTACCACCATATTTCATTCGAATTCTATCGCATGCGTCCAATTTGTATAAAGCAGCTTCACCGCTCTGATGTTATTTGGTCATTAATGATCGAACGTGATTCCCGGAACAATGAATAATTAATCCGATTCGCAACCGATCTCGTTAAACGAGCGCGATTCTAATGTAGAAAATAGATGCTGGAAGACGTTTGAATCGTAGCTGGGTGCGTGTCGGAAGGGATTTTCGTTGGGAACAACAATGTGGTTGATTGGACAGGAAGCAGTTCGCGAGTCCTTGGACGTTTGAATGTCCTCGTTATCGATGCCGATGGCCATTACCGTGGGAAAAAGAAAACGGGCAAGAGCGGAGCGAAAATGCAAATCCCGGAAACTGCTCGGACCTGGCGCCGATTTTTATCCATTAAAACTCCCCTCTATTCTGTTTCCGATCAAACTTGCCACGTTTGAAAGGAAGCTGATTAACCCATTTGCATCATTAGCATATACGCACTACTTCTACAGGGAAAATCAATACGAAGCATCGTTTATTACAGCCTTAGAAAATTACTGAATACATTATTAATTCGTCGCGTCGATTTATATTTATAGCTGGAAGTGTTCGATGCAAATGGGTCGGTAAAAGTTTTCCAACTGGTTCTCGATGCGTGAGCGAACGAGTACTCTCGTAGCTCAAGAGATTCGGTCCTTCGACTGGTTTCGGTAATTCCGTGAGAGTACGTAGCTCGATATGCTCGCGGTTTCCACGTACATTCAGTAATTATGCTACCAGTACTGGCTGGTTACGTTTACGGACTGTGCGGTTTAACATTGCGGAGTATCGCTCAGCAATTAATACCCACCAACAAATGAATCTAATAACGAAATATTTCACTGTTCTAACTAAAATCTAGGCTACTGTTAAAACTCCCACGTTTTATGACGAACATATAATATGGAACGAAATTGTAAATGTTGTATAGAGTCGTCAGACCGATATTACAAATGGTAAAGTCGAAATGAATACGAGGTTTAACAAGATGAGAAATAGTAGGACGTAATTTAGAATCGGGAATTGGGTTTAAGATCGCAATCAGGGTGTAACGAATCCAGTAAAACCGAGAGTGCGAAACTACAAATTGAACAGGAATCGATTATTCCCGGTACGGTCACGTTCGGGGTGGTTTAGAAGTCGGAAAGGGTGGGTCAGAGGGTGTTTCAAGAGCAAATTCTTCTCGTCGAATCTAGCCACGTTGCTCTTCTACAATCACTGCTCTGTTTCATGTCCCGAAGTACGAAATCATTCTACTTACCGTGGAAGAAACCAGCTTCGCCTCTGTCTGATCGAGCACCGACCTGCTCTACTTGCTGTGAAACATCTTAGTATCCAAGGAGGATGGAACATTACATTTTCTCTCGTATCGAAAGAGGAACAGTTCGGATTTCTTATTAAATGAATTATTTATGATGGATAGGTAAAGGATTTTGAGTTAGACGTCTTTATTCAGAAAGATTCGTAACGCAAATTCCATACAGCGAATGTTACAACGAGCTAAGAATCTCTAAGCATAATTCCTCTTTACCTCGAGTAGAAAAATATTTCTATGTTACTTTCCTAAATGATCGAATTAGAACGAAACATACTAAATCTTGTCACTACGCTCTTCCGTAACACATTTACAAAAATTACTGTTACATTTCCTTTGGGTTTACACGTATATATTACAGTTGTTCTTGAGAGAGCTTTTCGGTCAACCATAATACTCGTTACGCTACTGCGAATTAACAGTCTAACTATTATATCACATGTGAGAAAGCTGCTGAAATCTCGAAGGCTGCTATACGAGACAAGAAAAAATCGAGAGCTCATAGTTAACAGTTATTTGAAGACACGAACGAACAAATGTATTCTACGAAATTCAATGGAACATCGTCGAGATATATGAAAAAGTTTCAATTAGAGACAACGTAATATAATTCGTAAGAACTAGTTTTGATCGCTTGCAACATCTGTCGTCGACTCGTGTCTTAATTTGTTAAACGCGAAGCGAACATGCTTAATTACACGTATACACCGTTTATCATTCTCACTCTTTCTCTCTCTCTCTCGTTCTCTCTTTATAGTTATATTTTTACACGCTAACTGACTGGGCAGCGAAGCCGGGCGTCCGGCCAATACTAAACGATTAGTTACTCTCTGTTGAATATTGGCTAACTCTCTGAATTAGCTATCAGATCCGTAAAGCATAACACGATGCCCGTTTCGTTTCTGCCGCGAGCCTGTAACGATTCAATGGCTTCGACATCGCTTGTTTGACTGCTATCAAACCATACAAACCGCTGACTCCGGTGTTTCGTTAGAAAACACCGCGCAGCTCCTGTTCGACCTAAAGTATGTTCCAAGCAAATACTGCACGTTACGTCTTATAGTTAAAATTATACATCAAGACTCTGGACAAATCCTCTCTGCAGATTTCTTTGATATAATTATTTGTGTGTCAGATAACGTGTTCGGAAGGTTCGCAGAATCTTGAGTCGAAAAGAACACAAGGTGAAACGCGTACAGGCTGAGTCAATAACGAGTAACGACTGGATTTTACGGAGGTGATTAAATAAAACAAAATTCTTGTATTTCGAGGCTCAACCTGCATTTAGAACTGTCGTGCGACTGGCCGAAGCAGATTTCGTTTTATCAGTGAAAACGTGAACGAGAGTCCATCTCATCGTTCTCGGCGTAGAATTTGCGTACCTCGTCTCTCGCGGCATTGACGATCGAGCCCCGGCACGGGTTTCGGTCCCAGTTGACACCGGGACAGCCCAACGTCTCGAAACAGAAGACCAGCCGGTTGTTCGTGACCGAAGTACAACAGTGAACGACCGCCCAAACACATGGTGGAGGGCCCTGTACATGCCTGGTCGGCGGGGAAGGAAAATTCGGCACTGGCATCCCAGGCCGATGAGGGCTGGCTCCCTATTTAAAATATTCTCGATAGATTTCCCTTCTGAATTACACTTGTTGACTTTAACGTCCCCCTCGTAGATGAGAATTTGTGTTAGATGGTCATGCAGTCTTTTACTTAAGCTTTTCCAAGGATCGCAAGGACGGGAAATTATTAATGCGTGCTTCAAGTGGTTTCGCATTCCTCTTTTTTCAATTCAATTGCGGTTGGAGATTAACATCAATGCTCTTTTCTCGGAATTGTCTGCTTGATAAATTACGTTTCGTAATAACAATTAATTACTTTATTACTTCCTTCAATCATATCTTCATCTTCTGACCGCATTTAATTACGTTAAACGAGTAATCGTGTACTCAACGAGATTGTAGAAATATTCTTCTTCAAAAGAAAAATTTATAGTTTCTTTGATGATTCTTTCTAATTTCTAAAATATACTGTCTCGGTATATTCCGGTTTGCAGTAACGATCCGCGAATATTATACCAATACTTAGGATAGTTGCTCGCTACAGTTAACGTTGGCTGCAATTATTCCTACAGTTAACGATCACGACCCAACCTCCATTTACCAATCGATACTTGAACCGGTAACGAAGCCAGTGTTTAAACGGAACTTGGTTCTGTTAACACTCGACGAAATCTTCACTAACAACGCGACGGAATAATGCGAAACAGTTATGGCACGAGTGAACCGCTTCCCTGGATTATCTACGACTTCCTGTTTCAACAACAGCTGACGTGCGATTGATCTCAGTAGCATTCGAAATTCTTTTCTAATCAACAACGTGCCTGTTTAGTTTAGAATTTAAAGCGAACTTGGACCAAGGTTTCAAGCGTGACGAGTGCATTGAAAGCAAGCATGCATTTAATGCATTAATGAGTGGTTACAATGTAAAATATGAAATCACAAGTTGAATCGTCCCAATGGAAACGAATTAAAAATGTTTATGGAACGACACAAAATAGTATGAATAAGGAATTGGTGAAGTACAATAGAACATAATCATCACATTAAAAGTGCAGTCATTTGTAATAAAAAAAAGCAGGAAGAACAGGTGGAGATACACTTACCGGGAAATCGATATCGAGGTCTCCTCCCATCCTTGGTATCACGTTAGGCACGGATGAGGGTTTGACTATTATTCTCGCGCTCACCGGCAACGCGTTCAGCCTGGCCTCTTCCTGTCGTCTCCATAGCTCTTTCAAGTGGCTGGCTCGTTGCTCGTTCTGCCTCGCCTCTTTTGCTCTGTCGCAAGGATAAGGGGACATTTATATTATATCAGCACTCGCGCACCACCGAAAGAGAGGAAGCTCATTGTGCGCGTCGTCCCGTGACTGAACACTTTGTTTCATTAACGTCACTGTCGACTTCATACGAGCCGACTCGTCCTTGCGATCTCGTAGACAAGAAATATTCTACGTTCCGCGAGAGGAACTAGTTTTAAGATTCTCGGTAAAATCGTTGCCTTCGAATCAAATATAGAGATCATGGAGGCTGTGGTTAAAAAATAAATGGGCTCTAACTGTAGGATCGTCCTAAAAGTCAGGGGTAAAGGTAACGGGGTGGCCACGATACCATAAATAAGCAAGAGAGACGACGCGTGGGTTCTGTCTAGAGCATTTATCGTCTAGGAAAATCTACTGCGTCACGAGGTATTCTCTGTCGGAGCTACTAACTCAGCGCGTGATGTTTATAGTGGCAATGAAAACGAGGTACATGCTTTTTTAGGGCCGCAACCATATATTTTCGTTGGAATTTATTAAATGTAATCAATGGCAAGGAAAATATTTTATATATCAGGATCATCAAATATTGAATTTACCTTGGAGTATAGTTTGCGAAAAGTACTCCCTACGAAGATCCTGATAAGGTATCGTGTCCGATCGTAAATTAACAGAATCCCTCGGATCGCTTGGTCGCAATTTAATATTCAGTCACCGAATACCTCGCCGTCCTTACCTGGTCTGCTGCTCTTGCCGTTGCCTCTCAGCCTCCAGCCGCCTCCTCTCCATCTCCTGCCTTTGTCTCTCCGCGGCTCTCCTCGACTCGTTCGAAACTAAATTGGCCGGAATAAGACTCGTGTCCTGTCTCCTTCCCGGCTCCGGGAATCGTCTACGATCCCCGACCCTCGTATTCTCCGTTGATCCTCCAAGCTGACTTCTTCTAGCAGCCTTCTCTCGTTCTTCTCTCGCCAGCCTCTCCGCCTGCTGCCTTTTTCGTTGCTCCTCGTATCGCCTCGACTGCATCCACCTCTGCTCCTCTTCTCGCCTCAGTGCCTCTCTCCTCAGATCTTCCTGTTCCTTCCTCTGCCTCTCGCGGATCCTCTCCTCCTCGATCCTTCTCGCAGCCTCTCTCCTTCCGGCATCTGCAGTCCACGGATCGATATTCGTCGGGGCCGATGGACCGTGATTTCTTCTTCCGCTTCCAGGACCCGGATACCTTGACCGATCATACTCTCTCCTGTAGTCGACGCTTCTTCCATCCGATTCGTTCACCTTCGACACGCGCACCGGTTGATTACGCCGAATGTACTCTTGCAACCTCCTCTCTTCCTGAAGCCTCCGCACCCTCTCGTCCTCCTCCCTGCGCCTGTTCGCTTCCTCCCTCCGTCGGTCGATCGAATCGTTTACGTTGATCGGTCGATTGCGTTCAATGTACTCGTTCAACTTTCTCTGACGCTCCCTCTCCCGTTGCTCCCATAATCTCCGCTCCGTTTCTCTGTCGTACGACCTGGTGTCGTTGGAACCGCCCCGAGGAGGATACAGCAAGTTGGAGGGTTCGTTCCTATCCTGCTGCCTTCGCCTCTTCTCTTCTTCCGCCTGCCTCTGCTTCATCATCCACTCTCTCTTCCTCTCGTCTAGGTTCCTCCTGTCCGACTCCCTTCTACGAGCCTCCTCCTGTTCCTGCAGTCTCCTCTGCCTCTCTTGCTCTCTCAAACGATTCTCCTCGCGTCTTCTCATCTCCTCTTCCTGTTGCTGCTGCCTCTTTCTCTCCTCTTCGTACGTTCGAGGATCGTACCTTCTGCGAGACTCCAATTCCTGCCTCCTCCGTTCTTCGTCCTGCCATCGATTCCTCCTAGACTGTTCCTCTTGCAGCCTCCGCCGCTCTTCCTCCATCTGCCACCTGTTCGTCGGCTGAGCTTCCTGTTGCAATCGCCGTCGCCGCTCTTCGTCCTGTCTCCGTCTAAGTTCCAGCGATCTCTCATACTCCTCTCTGATCTTCTCTATGTCGGTGTTAGTCCGATTTTCCGCGTGACTCCTTCTGTCCGTCTCGCGTCTCTTCCACTCCTCTTCCCGTCTCCTGCGTTCTTCTTCCTCCTTTAACCGTCGCTCGTAAGCCAGTCTTCGTCTCTGGTTCACCGTTTGCAGCTCGTCGCTAGACACCACCCCCTCGTCCTCCGCGAAGCCCCAAACGTCGCGTGATCTCCTCTTCCCTTCCTCGGGATCATCGAGCCACAATATTTTACGTTGATTAGCTCCCCGAGAAGCGAATAGGCTTCCGGTATCTCGCTTAGATTTATTAAAATGCAGAGACTTTCCCTCTGCCTCGGACTCGTTACCAGACCCGGTCTTACCCAGGTCCCCGCGGACCGGTAGTTTCTCCGCGTCCACCTCGTCCCGGTGGAAGTCGAGAGTCGCCTCCATGTCCCCCCTGTTCCGCTTCGTCCCGACCGTGGTCGTTTCTAGTTTCTTAAGATTCAATAGTTCGTCCATCTCCTCCTCCTCCTCCTCTTCGTAATCTAAATCTAGTGTTATCGGAGTGATGCCCGTCCACGGGTCGACGTCTCTTCCCTTCTCTTTGGGAACATCGATCGATCTCTTCTCTCTGCTCGTTATGTCGGACGCTTCCAAGCCCTCGCAGCCGACTTGCAGCTCCGGCACGCCGCCGACGCTGAAAGGATCGTTGAACGCCGGATTCTCCGTGCGCGACTCGTCGAACGGAATCGCGTTCGACTGTTTGCGGAGTATGTTCGGGCTCGCCTCTTTGCTCTTCCAGTGCCAGGTCTTCTTCGGCACCTTGCCCTTGAACGGCAACCTGGTAGCAGGCGTGGGATCCAACAGCAGTAGGTCTAACTTGTATATCTCGACCGAGCCCGGGCCTTGATCTTGGAACGTGTCGTCGGCCACAAAAGGGTCTTTCAATTCGGCCGGCGGAGGCAAATCGCGCCGCGAAGATTCCTTTGTCTCATCGTCTTCCTCGTTTGCTCTTTCCTCTGTGAACTCGCTGGATTGTCTCGCGTCTTCTGACAAAGACGAAAAGTAGCTGTTGACGTCCTTTCCGTAGCCGCGCGACCGGTAAATTACGAAGTCCAGATCCTTGAACGGGTCTTCCTTTGATTCTGAAATATTCATTTCCTGTGTGCTCTTCTGATACTCGAATATTCATGACGAATCGAATGAGCAATGGAACTGAATTATCATGACATCGTCCGTTATTAATTAATATTTACTTCCGGTCGTGACGGAACGTGAAAAATTGAACTCAATTAAATCCATCGAGGGAAAGGATATTTCTGTCACGAGGTTCGGCCGAGAAGTGGCCACTTACACCGGCCGCTTTCGAACGACCGCGAGCATTCAACGTTTTAAACTGTTTCCCACCCATTAGAATTCATTGCGACGTTCGTAAACGTGCTTACGGAATAAATGAACGCTTAACGCGACGCGCGGGCGAGCATATTATAATTCCGGTTGCCTGAAAAGCTCGAACCCGATGCTCGCGATGTACGTTTGCACCGCGAAACGATACTCGTTTCCTGTTAGAATATCGCGACCGAAGTTCAACTGGGACAAACTAGAGGCTAACATTTTTAGCCCGGTCCTACCGGCGTTCTCGACGGTATGCATAATTGATAGTTATGATTAATAAATAGGATACCGACGGTTTCTTCCGTATCTCCGTTATGAATTTTATACGACGTCAAACGGGCGAAATTAATGCGTTCGTGTGTCTCCAAATAAAATGAATAATTGTTCTCGGTAAATACCAGTTTCGTGTATGGGTGGAAGTTTGTTTTGAGATCTGGACTGGGGGATCGATGCGTGGACCTGGTGATCCTCGACAGGATTCCGATCCTTCCAGCCGAGTCGGTCCTCCTCGGTTCCTCCATAAACTCCGTGGCGTCGGTGGTGGCGGTGCGAGGGGGAGTATTGATCGAGGGTAAGGCGGGAGGGACGGTGGGTGGCCGTCCCAACCGCGTTCGCGTACACCACAAGCCAGACCGTAGCCAGAACCACTGTCACCCCTGGCTGCATCCTTCTGCAATCAAACGGATATGTTCTTCGTTACGCTCCTTTTTCTCTTTTCCACCGTCGTTCGACTAGCAAAACGAACGGCTCTGCTCCCTTTTCCCGCCGCTGAAAATTCGTTCGATCTCCAATGCCGCTATCGCGGTGAACCGACTCGGAAACGAGAACGCTACCCGGCATTTTTACTACCTACACCGGCTTAACTCCCTCTAATACCTCGTGACTTACAATTAGAACCGACAGCCTTATTATACCTCGTTTCATGTATTATACGACTACATTAAATAAATTCACTGGATAATTATATCTCCTTCCCAAATGGAACTCATCTTACAATTAAATTACTAGATAATAAAAATTGCAAGAAGAACAGTTAAACGTGAAATTCAATCAGTCATGAGAAGAAATGATCGAAGCAACCGGTGTCAAAGGTGCAGTTTGATTCTATTAAGAACAGAAACGGCAAGAATCTATATAAAAGTAGCAATTGGAAATTAATTAGGTATAAAATGATTCGAGTTGAAGTATTAAACGTTCTTGTTACATCGTAACGACGCGGGTTCCTGTTCGCTTGGAGGATCGCGAGAGACGTGTGAGCATCTCGCATCGGTGGTAACACGTATTAAGTATTCGCGTCGCGTCGCGTCGCAGGAGCGGTTTCGCTGTTTCTCGAAGGACTCGCGAGAAACGGTTAGCTTGTCGCGACGAATTACACGACGGCGTCACTGAATTTTTAATGCGAACCGCATCCTGAGGTCCGCTAAGTTCTTTCTTTGGATTAAAGAACGAGGATACACGATGAATACGAAAAATTGAGAAACACTTGCCATCCTTAAATTACTTTCTCAAAAACGATAAGTCACTCGATATCGGAGATTATAAAAAGATTTTCGAAAAAAATCTGAATATACTTGAATCTATATTGAATTGAGACAGTTCAGACACACTTCGAGAGGACAAACGAAATTAAGATCGTATTCAGTTTCGAAGTCGATGATAGATCAGAAGTATAGCGCGAGATTTGAATTGGATATTGTTTCAAACGCGGCGACCTTCCGAATTTTCGATCGGTCCCATACCCGTTAACGAGATCACATCCGTCGGCGCGCACGAAAGCCCTCGGGCCGCTATCGATTCCGCTATCGGTGACACTCGACTGGCTCTCGAAGAAACGGCACCCGTACCGACCCAACAGGGCTCGAGGCCCTTCTCTTCTCCCGGTGTGTGTGTGTGTGTGGATTCTGTTCCGCGCGACGCCGCGCCCGGCCGGTCGGTCGGTTGGTCTCTCGCTTCGAAATTCTCTCCGCTTTGTAGGCGTCGAGTGGTCCCGCAGCCTCTTCTGACTCGGCCCCCCCGACGGAAGAGGAGAAGGAGCAACAATCGGCAGCCGCGAGGTGAAGCCGCATATACTGCGGGATCAAGTGATCTTGACACACTGTCGCTGCCAGGTCGAAGTGGCTAAACTTAACTACCCGACCGAGCCGCGCTGCCTGATGGTCAGCGCGTACAACTTCCGGATACGGTGACGTCAAAACCTTGGCTAACCGTGGAATTTCGTTTTACGATACTTCTTCTTCTCTTCAAGTGAAATTTATGGTACAATAGCAAAGAACTGTATTTGCACACCTCATACGTTCTGTCTTTATTGCTTTCTGATACGAATTGATAGTCCTTGAAAAGAATTGGCTGAGTACTGAAACGATGACTTACCCCGTAATACATTTTTATTGAAAGAACTTGCCGGCTTCAATTAAACGAATTGACTTATTGACCGCATAGGTAACGTTCTAATAATGCAAATGACTCAGAGGTTTATAATTACGTATCCATTTAACAAGTAGAACTGCGTTATTAAGCAACGGCGCGTGCGTACAGAGTCTAGGCTCGTCAAGCTAATTCGATATGAAAAGATTGCGGAGTTTGGATCGTCTCAAGGCTGGAAACACGGAAAGTCCGTGGCTTGTTTTCTCAGTTCATCACGTTTCAAACAATACCACGCTAACGAGAGGGAAGTACGCGAGAAGAAAACAAGTGGAGGAAAAACATTCGTGATAAACACAGATGTAGCAATATGGCTTGTCAATTTGTTATATACTGTCCTACAGACCGGATTCAGTTTATGCAATTAAATCCATTACTATGGAACTTCGATCTTTAATACTTGATCAAAAGTTAAACGCGATCTTATATTAAAATAATTGATCTGTGATACGAGACTCGTTACAGTGTTTAAACACGCGTTCATGGTCTGGCAACGATAGTTCACAGCGAGCTGAGCATTGTAAACGTGTTTCTAGGCGGGTGCCCGTTCCGGAACGAAAGCTACCGCGATCTTTCTTCCAGTCATCGTCACTTTTAGCTCGCGCGCAATATTAATAAGTTCAACCGCGTTGCTTCAGCAAACTTTTCGCCGTAAATCTCACGGACGGTTGACCAACTACTGTTTCAATGAGCTACCTTGAAAACCGTGCCATTCGGAGCGAAAACAGATTTTCCACAAGTGCCACTAAAGATCTGGTTTAAATTCAAATTTTACGTACATTTAACTAGAAATATTTCAGCAAAATTCTGTATCGTATTCTCAATGAAAAATCGGTCAGAGTTAAATTTCAGGGTTTCTGATCAGAAACATCTGATGAAATTAGTCTACCTGTATCGAATCTATAAAAAGCAGTGAACTTTTAAGACCTATCTCGCTTATTCCGTTGAAGTCGAGAACCCTTATTAGACTGCTCATCCAGCTGTCTTGGCCAACGATTAATCACTGTCGCTGGAATTTTTGTCGCGGCTAAGGAAAGACAACATAATCCCAGTGTTGGTTGCTTCTTGCAGCCAGGCATTATGTTATCCAGGCGAGTAATGGAAAGTAAAGTAGCCAAACTTGATAGAAATAGCATCAAGATTATTACACAAACATCCCTCGACTGATAAAACAAATTAATACATATTAATCATACTAAATGTATCAGACTTATATCGGATTATAATATAGAATCGAGTATGCGAGAATAAGTCAGGTGAAATATAGAGCGACCAATCGATCACAACGGCAAATTGATGACAGATAAAATAGCCACTCTGAGAAGAATTGGGTGAAAAACGGGCGTTACGAATGATAAACGAGTTTACTATCAGAATTTGTCAGAGAACACATGGTCCCGCGATAACTCGTAATCATTTCTCAGCGGGTTGACACAAGTACGCCTCGAGCCCGGATTAAATTTACATTTTAACCAGAAGTTACCCGGCGTCTAAATAATTTCCGTATCGCGCATTAACCGCTAGCCGACATCTCGATTTCCTTTTTCCTCTCCCGCGGAATTATCTCCACCTTAACGGTACGCCGGTTAGGAGGCTTTAAATTTTATCAAGGTATGCGAACGCGGAATTGAATTACACCAGCGATACCGCGAGGTCGTCGGTTGAGAATGTTTCGAATAATTATGCAATCTGTCCCGCGAACCTAACCGTTACAAATAAAAGTGTTCATTTTATCAACGGGCGCTGTTTGCGTAAAGAGAAATGATTGAAGTGGTTTCGTTTTGAGAGCGAAGAAATATGTTTCCTAGAACCGAGACTGCTTTGTCCCGACGCTGGTTAATTTTCATCCACAAAGAAGTCGGCCGAAATTAGAATCCATGGACGGCAAAAAGGGGTAATTAACGCTGGTCACTCGGCGAGGTTCGAGCGGCGTACGAAAAATCTTTGTCAGAGGGTAATTAGCGCCGGGCCGATCGAAAAATTCCGCCCGGCGAAAGCGGAGAATAACTGGCCGGGGGCGAGCAGCGAATTTAAATCGTACAAATTGTCGCAGACGAGGGAATTAAAGTAACTTTGAAACTGGCACGGGGCGACGAGTCTCAATTGCTAAGGTTCACGGCTCTTCCCTGACTCCTTGCAAATTCTTTTTTCCTCTCCCTTTATCTCGTTTTTCTATTCCGTTCTCGCGTGCCTCGGAGCAACGAGGCGGAATGTTACGACCGGGGATAAACTATCCTTTCAGACCCGGAGAGGGAAATTGGTACGATACGCGAGTTGTTCTTTTTTTATGGCCACCGATTGTTTGTGCCGCGCGTTTAGAAAATCCAAGGCTCGATCCTGATGCCGATCTAATGAACCCCGAAAGGGATCAAAGTGTCCGGCGAACGCAGAAACCCCGGGACAAATGTAACCCGCTTTATATTTGTCCAGCAAACTCTTTTCGAATCGTACGCGCGATATTTAATACTAATAATAAACACGAAATTTATAACACGCAAATTGAAACTCCATTACGCTAGAATCAAATATTCAATTACCGGTTTTTCGTTCGGCCATTACCCAGCATCCTTTTTGTACCGCCTAATGCAATGTGTATAAATGAAATTGGATTGCGAGACGCGTTTATAAAGCCCGTAGTCAACGGATGGTGGAATAATGGCACCCGGGGGCCGGTAATAAAAATGGGCAACGGGCAGGACTCTATATCGTTCTGTCATGCACCCTTTATCGATCCGAACGGTTTTCGCCTGACTTTTCGGAGATAACGTATTGAAATATCGGAGCCTCGCCGTTTCGCACGAATCCCGGAGTGTACAAGGCGGTACCAACGGGAAACGAGCGCGTATATTTTTTTTTTTATTCCCTCTCTCGCCATTTTATTTTTATCGCGGCCACTCGACGTTCTTGTTACTGTTTATGACAAACAGTCCCCGGTGCCTGTCGAACGTTTCTCCCTCGCGATTCTGATCTAGCGATTGTTTGGAACGACTGGAACATTTATCAGTTTTACAGCGGCAGAAAAAAAAGAATATTTCATACTTGCAATTTCGCCATTTAATACTTTTCGTATCTGAACACTGCCGTCTATTGACCAGTTAATTTCCTTGAGAAATTACGCGGGTCTGTTCGTTACGCGCCTCACTCGATTACTACTTGTAAGATTTACCAAGCAAGTTTTAATTGTTATCCTGCCGGCATGATTACGCGACTCGGTGGAAGTGACAAATATTCGTCGCGAGTCGTAACTTCGTCACCGAGTTTCAGTTCCATTCTACTCGCTGCCAATTCGCCGGTCTCGTATCAAACTGTTCATTGTACTACACGAGCAGTTTCGTTTGTGAAATAAAATTTTATGGCAGCGAAGACGGTCCCATCGATTTAAGCCAATTAAGGCGGATTCTTTGTCCCGAAAACTTGTTAATCGAAACATCGTCTTAAGTGTCTACATCTTTATTTTATTGGATGATTTACGTCCGTCAGGCTCATATTTTTCAATGAACTACATTTAAAAACTCGTACCAAGTCAAGTAGATTTTATTAGTTTCCTTCAAATTAAAATACCAAACAGTTTTTTCGATGCCGCTTGCTCTCCGGTTATTAACAACGAGACAAGTGGTAGATCGAATGAACGTGAAATATCGATGAAAAAAAGAGAAGAGATATAACGTTCTGGTCGACAGAGTGGCCAAGCAGGATGTAATACTTGCCAGCGAGGCGATTAGCGTCGAAACTAATTGAAGGCTGACGACGCGACGCGACGAGTCGGGGGGAGAGAGGGTGGAAAAAAAAAGTGTCACCTAATTAACGCGAGCGGGCGCGCGTCGTCGTCGCTAATAGGTAGACCGAACCGCTAAACGAGATTACTTATTAACGATCAACGATTTACACCCAGTAACAAGCCTCGATCGTTTGACGACGTAATTGTCCCGCTAGCTGGGAAGGATTACACGTTTTCCACCAATTGAAATAATCGAATTACCTTAATTCCTATTTCGTCAAAGTCTCTTAACTGCAGAATAAAATTATTTCAAATAGTGTATTTAAGAAAATACTGGATGGACATATTTAGCACGAGGATGGAAGTAAAATCTCAAGACAGAGGCTTGTCCGTCCTTTTGTTTTTCTACACTGGGGATCTTCTGGGAGCGACGCCTTAATTTCAGATAAAATATCCACCGGCGCGAAGAAACTGGAATCGTAATAAATGAACAGAGGCAACGAGAGGAGAGAGAGAGAGAAGAAATTTCAAAGGAGCATCTAATGAGATCCCATTGTAGTGCTCGGAGAAAATTATTCGCGGCCTGCCATTAATTTCCCGTTATCTGGTGAACGATAAACGAGGCACAACAGGTAGGAACAATTACGCTACCGTTGCACACGGGACGGGATCGTCAGAAACGAAGTCTGCCGAAGTCCAACGGAATGTAACACGAGGCTGATGACAAAGAGTATGAATAGGAGGAATGTTTATGAATTTTCGACGACCGCGAGATACCGATTGAAATCAGACTTGAGAGGTTCAGTACTGAACTGGTTGAACGCTGCCAGCTGAAGATCGTTGATACTGTTTGCAGAGAGCGATTGAAATTGAAATGCACAGGAGGA